CCTGGGATGTGTTCACCTGCAGCTGCGTGAAGCTGAACCCCACCCACAGAGAAAGGAAAAAAGGCAGTAATTATTGATAAGGTAGTAAGCATGCTGTGGCTTCACCTGTCGCATTTCTTTTAAAGAACGAAAAAGTAGCTTGCAAAGCTGTCGCATCGGTGCAACGTCCCCGCCCCGCCTGAATAATGGTAGGGGAAACACTGGACTAACATGAGACGAGCAAACAAAACTAGAAATACACCAAGACTCACCATCGAGGGCTGAAGGACCTGAATTCTTATTCTCCTCTGCAAGCATGACTTCCTCTGGAAAACAGATCAGATATTCAGAAATGAGCTATGCATCTTAGCTCAGATGGAAGGAGATAAATCACCAGTGGGCAGAATTTGTCATAAAATGGATTTATCTTTTTTTTTTTTTGTCACATGCAGGAGAAGCAAATCAGTGACTGGGACTAAAACCACCTGCTCGGTCGATCCAGGCTCGATAGCCATTGAGCTCTCGTTCAATCTGCTGCTGGCGTCTCAGCTTCATGAAGGCCCTGCGGTTTTCCACCCTCTCCCTCTCTTTGGCAAACTCCCTACGAAAATGACCAAAAACGCATCACAAGTTACTGCATTTACTTGTTGAAAGTACAAGAGCTTTAAAGCAAATGAAAGTAATAAATTATCTTGGAGATATTCAGTGGAGAACAAGTTGTGTCTTCTCACTTCTCATCCAAGTGCAAAGGGATTAGGGTTACATGCACCCAAACCACATATTTAGTCACAATGTACAAAGAATGTTTACCACAACCTTTGATCTCTTTAATTCTGTCTGGTTAACCAATCAGCAACAGAGAAAACATGGCAAGAGTTACAGAAGTTAAGATGGTAAAATAATAAAATCATTTTTATGATGTTCTTTAACATGTTAAACTCTCAAGGTCTGTGGGTCTTTTGTGGCCTACCACAGCATTTTATTTAGCCCACAAGAGCATCAAAGATGTAGTAATGTCTTAAAATAAGCTGCTTTAAAGTCAACATTGGTCATAAACTATCGCTCTCATAACGCAATTATTTTATCTGTGAAAGGATGACTGAAACGTAGCTGGCAGCCAGCAAAATTCACTGTGTAAAAATCTCCAATTTGCGTAATTTTCACCAGTTGATTTTGCTGTGGCCCAGTTGTTCTGGGAAGTGGGAATTTCCCACTTACAAGTCATAAACTGGAACACCGCTCCAGTGGGAATTCTGTGTCAGAAGAGTTCAGAATTTAAGATGGCGGATACTCACCACAACTCAACAGTGAGTAAAATACTTTTACTTTTAATAGTGTTTCTGTGTTTATTTCACATTTAGTCCATCGTTCATGTAGTACTTGTTAGTGTTTAAATGAGAATGTGTTAAAACACTGTTTCTATGAAGGAAATATAGTGTAAATCTCAGTTATTGTCAGCGGTGTTTAAACACAGCAAAAAGACAAGGAGGAATGTGACGTTTTGTGTTTAGTTGAAGTTGAGGGCCACCATAATGCTCCTGTGGCCATCAGTAAAAATGAGTTTTACACCCCTGCTCTATAACCTACAGTTTTAAAATATTTTCTGACATTTTTGGTTTAAACTTCAAAGGGAATTCAGACCTACCCAGAGAGGACTCCCAGCACCAGGTTCAGGACAAAGAAGGAGCCAATGATGATTAGAGGGATGAAATAGATCCAGTTCCAGGTGGGGCCCAAGGCATCGTTGGTCTGAAGCATCCAAAACCAAGTTAAAAAACATTGGTGCAAGAGGGAGTTATTTCATGTTCAGACTGATTGTTTGCATAGATTCTTGACTAAAATTAGCTCCATAGATGCGTCACATCACAACTGATCCATCATGAAGGAAAGTGAGAAGGTAGTTTGTTTATCATTTTTATATTTTGTCAACATACTTGGCCAATAAACCTGATTCTAATTCTGATTTTTATTTGTTGTATCTTTTAAAGGTTCAAAAGTTTTAAGTTTTAATACAAGGAACTCTATGCTTATAGCTTTCAGAAAGTGTCAAATTAGTGTGTGCCATTGCTTTTCTGTCTACAGAACATACTACATTCTCTGTTCCCTCTGACTCACAGATACTAACGAAGCAGAGCGCAGCATGACATCCTGGTCTGCTGCTTCTGAGCAGAAAGTGACAGTATTCTGGCTTTCAGAACACCAAAATGTCTATGAAAATTCACTGATTTTTGTCTATTTTAGTTACCGACAAGCTCAATTTTCTACAGAACAAAATCAAGATACAGTCATTACTCAAATTATTGCTGCAACAAGTAGTTACGAAAACTGTTGAATCAAGGAGTTAACTTGGTTTTTTTGTTCCATGATGTGTTTTTACTGTATTTTGGAACAAATCAAGTAAAATTTAAACTATTCCTTTAACCTCAATAATTTATTTTTGAAAAAAATATCCTACTATCAACACATGAGCTTAGTACTAGAACTTGAGGTAGAAATAAATATTTTAGTAATGAATACTGTAAAGAATGTAATGTGTTGAGGATGAATCTCTGCAACAAAAACAACAAAATTAGCCCAATATCTGTACATTTGACTGAATTATACCCATTTTGTGTTGGCTAACAATGATTAACTGCGCTGACTATCTTGAATTGGGATAATTTCAAAAAGTTAATCAGTTGTAGAGGTGCATTCAATGATTAAGATCTGAGAGTTGCAATAATCCACTGGTTTATGGAATATTTTTGCTAAAAGATGGACACAGTTGACTCCAATAATTATTGGAAATGTGATACCTTGTTAGATACTGCTTAACACCAGCTCCACTTGAACAATTAGATGAAATATCATCTTGGTACTTTGGTGCTTTTATAGACTTAAAAGTCAAAACAGTTATAAAAAAACATAACTCAAAAATCATTTACAGCAAACCAGGACAGCCTTGAGAGAGACAGAGGTGTGGTCTTACGTTGTAGAGTACTGTGGTCCACCCCTCCATGGTGATGCACTGGAAGACAGTGAGAACAGCAAACAGGATGTTGTCGAACTGGGTGATACCATCATTTGGTCCAATCCAGCGTTCACTGCATTTGTATTTTGCCGGGCACTGACGCACGCCACACGGGAACTCGTACTCGAGCGAGTCCACGGTCTCGTTTTCTGAACAGAAAGGTCCAAAAAAATAAGGTGAGACAAAAGCGTCAGGACACCCTTTTATTTTTTAATTATTTATTAAGGGCAAAGGAAATATCTGAATACCTCAGCAAGCGATGGATGAGGGCACCTATTTTTTAGGCCATTTTTTGGAATGAGACCCACTTCTCATTGGAAAAAATTAACTTTGATCCAACATGGCGACTTTCAAAATGGTGGCCATGTTCCGGACATAGCCTGAAAGATAGAACCCTCACCCATTACTTGCTGGGTTATTCAGATATTTTATTGATTCTGAAATAAGGGGGTGTCCTGAATCTTTTGATTCAACATGTACAGCTACATTTTAGACTGAACAAACACACCAGGATTTAAAATACAACTAGACAATTTTTCAATCTTCAAGCTATTATTCTATTCTATTTATAAAATCTAAACTGTGTAACTAGTTGATAACTTTCCCACAGAAACTAAAACATAATAAATTTTATCAATAGGGTTTTTTAAACCACAGAAAATGAAGCTTAAATTTGACTGTGAGTCCACTGAGCTGTGACGCCAGAACATCCTGGACAGGAAAATACGTTGATTTGTGTTTTCTAAATGTCCTTTCAGCTCAAGTGAAACAGAGGGGAGGGAGGGCAGCTCGGAGGTTAATGACAGCTATGAATGCACAATGAGTCATTGTGGTGGACTGCATTGTTCCTTTTATTTATACCGGGGCAGCAAAGCCAGGTTGGTTTGATCAAATCTCCAGGTGCAGTCTGATGCGCATGTGCATGGATTTTCTGATTATAACCTTACAGCCTATTTATGTGATAAAATGAAAATACTTTTTTTAGTTTTTCATGTTGGAGCCTTGTTTGCTCTGATACGGAACAGGCATCTGAGCCAAACACATCAGATCATTTACTGTCATTCGTGCCCATACCTCGTATTCCTGGCTCAGGTGTGCATGTCTTGTGCAGTTTCCCACTGTAGAACTCCAGGCCGATGATGGCAAACATGAGGATGGCAAAAAAGAGCAGCAGACCAATCTGCAGCAAAGGCACCATGGCCTTCATTATAGACTTCAGGACAATCTGCAGACCTGAACGTAAAGCAAACAATGACCTGCTGAATTCATGTCCAAGGACAAGGATTGTCCAAGTAACTATCAACAGTCTCTGCATGGAAATGACAGTAATCTGACTAATATCTCATTACCATACATTGACTATCGTGTGACCATGCATTAACTATCTCATGGCCACACATGAAATCTTTTTGACCACACATTAACCATCTTGTGGCTATGCATTAACTATCTCGTGACCACACAATAACTATCTCATGACCAAACATTATCTATCTTGTTACCACACATTATCGATAATGGGGCACTACATTAACTTTTTTTGACCATACATTAACTATCTTGTGACCACAAAATAATTATCTTGTGACCATGCATTAACTATATTTTGACCAAACATTAACTATATTTTGACCAAACATTAAATATCTTGTGGCTACACATTAACTCCCTTGTGACAATGCATTACCTACATTGTGACCACACATTAACTATCCTGTGATCATGCATTAACAATATTTTGACCACATATTAACTATCTTTTGGCTGCACATTATTTATCTTGTGGCTATACATTAACTATCTTGTGACCACACATTAACTATCCAGTGATCATGCATTAACTATCTTTTGACCACACATTAACTATCCAGTGATCATGCATTAACTATCTTTTGACCACNTGACCACACATTAACTATCCAGTGATCATGCATTAACTATCTTTTGACCACACATTAACTATCCAGTGATCATGCATTAACTATCTTTTGACCACACATTAACTATCCTGTGACCATGCACTATCTTTTGACCATACATTAACTATCGTTTGGCTACACATTAACTATCTAGTGGCTATGCATTAACTATCTTGTGACCACATATTAACTATCCTGTGACCATGCATTAACCATCTTGTGTCCACTCATTCACTATCTCATTGCCACACATTACCGGTACCTATCTCATGACCAAACATTAACTCTCTTGTGTCCATTCATTTACTATCTCATTGCCACACATTAACTATCTTGTGACCATGCAATAACAATCTCATGGCCATGTATTATTTTTAATCCAATGTGACTAGGCGGGCTCCATATGTCTATGGGGACCAACTATTTGTGTTTTTATTCATTTACAAAAACTATACCACAATGATACACATAAATTAAAAAAATGACACACTCACTGGGGATGCCTGAGACCAGTTTCAGTGGTCGTAGGACCCTCACCGCCCTCAGAGTTCTCAGATCCACTGAGATGTTCATGTGAGCTCCTGCTGCAGCCAGGATCCTAAATGTGGAGACAAGCAGAAGACAAACAGAAAGCAGGATTTTCACATGAATGCCACTAATTCCTACTTTATAATCTATTTGGAGCTGAATCGACACATGGCCTGTAAGTGTTGGAGGATGGCGGCAGAACTTAGATACTGAATGTGATGGTGGGAAGACCAGAGGAAAAAAACACACACACAAAAAAAACCCAAATAACATACGTTTTTTTGGAGCCTTTTAGCTGTTTTCTTCATTGTGAGTGTGTGTGTGTGTGTGTGTGTGTGTGTGTGTGTGTGTGTGTGTGTGTGTGTGGGAGGACGGCTGTGACAACTGCTATTTAGGAGGAGAACAAAGAATAGCTTCATCAGGGGTAGTAGGCAGGATACCCTTAAGCCGGCAAGACGCCAAGCTCAAAGACAAACCCATCGCACAGACAGACATGGATCTTTTATCTGCCGAGTCCTTCGCAAAGTTTGATTTTCACTTTGTGTTGTTTTGTCCCCTCCCCTCCCTCTGCGCTGTAGCCCCACCTCTGTGGCCTTCAGCTCTCAGAATGATGGGAGAGGAAAACAGGACCTCTGGTGACCCCTGCATTCATTCCCTCATTAGTCTGACCTCCTGCCTCCAATTTCTCTAAAATCTCTTGTGCTGCTCCTCATCTCCAGACTTTCCTTGCACCCGTTTTCAACCTCTTCATCAATTATTTTTCACCTTTGGTTTTGTTCTCCTGTTTGTTCCATTTGAGGCACAAGTATTTGTTTGAGTTGGATGCCTACAGACTGGGAGACAAAGCTGGAGGGAGGGGACCCTGAACTCAAGCACTTTCGAGAAATAATTTCTCAGAACTTTGCAGTTTTAGCTTATAGTGCCGAAAAAATGCAAACGCTTTTACACTGAAACCAGTGATTTTACGAAAAATACAGACACAACTGTGAAACGACCTACAAAACCATAGTAATATAAAAGTTAGTAAGTAAAAGTGAAAAAGTCCTGGTTTTAAGGAGCAGAAGTAAAATGTTGTCTAAAAAATAATTACTCCAGTAAAGTACAAATACCCAAAATTTCTGCTTAAGTAAAGTAACAAAGTATTTGCACTTCATTACTTGACACCTCTGGTCCAAGGTATTGTATGTGATGCCTGAGGTCATCTCCTCTGTTTTTTTTGTCTCCCGTTTTCATTCCTTCACAAAGCAATTTATCACTGAGAAGGACAGCTGCATGGAGCTGACTTCTTCTGTTGTGTGTTTGTGAAATGTTCATGTAGTTCCTCTTGTGTAACAGTCTCACCAATGCACTGCTCAGCTTGCGTTTGGGTGTTTTTTCCTACGAGGGAACCAGTTAGGTACGCACAAAGTTTGGATTATCAGTGATCTGATGAAATCAGCCTGCCTCAGATGATTAAAAACTATGTTTATTTCTAAATGAAATGGTTTGTAGATAACGGAATTGTGTTTTTTTTACTTGTGCTAAAACATCCTCACTTTAAAAAGCAGTCTTATAATGACAGATAATGGATAAATAGTGTAAAATGATCATAAAGCATGATTTATGTGTGCTACAATGTTTAACTACCATCTTTATTTGCAGTAATTTGCTCTACAATGATTGCACATTTGATATTAATAAAGCACCACAGATCCAATTACATTTTATGGAGTGTTGAGAATTAGTTTTGTCTGTATTACTAACTGACAAAAAGCCTCATCTGTTATAATTAGGAGAAAACAAAAAGGGAGAAGATTGAGGAGGTAGGAAAAACAAAACATCTCACTATAATTAATGCAGATATAAAAAAAATAGTCTTGATCTTCAGATGAAACACTATAGGATGTGTTGAATCATTTCATATTAATACCTATGACAAGACTTGAGAAAAATGTAAATGTAATAGTCAATGTTAACAAAACCAGCATTGGAACTTATGGAACCTGGATTTTGTGCCCCATAAAGAGCGATAGTATATTTTGGAAAAATGGACCTTACAATATAACAATTGCTAGAACAAACACACTCACATACTTATTATTCAAGTAAAAGTAAATCTTAGGGATCCCTGATTAGTTGTCTTTATTTGATAAATATTTATTTTAACTGTAAAATAAAGACTGTAAAAATACTGTAGGCTGCTTAGTTTTGTAAATTTTTTAAAGTATATTTTAACACGGACGGAGCCATTTTATTTACACACAAAGCATTCTGGGTGATGAATGAAACCAGAGAGCGTTGACAGAGAGGAGAAGGTAGAAATGACTCAGTCTACAACGGAATATATGAATGGAGGACAACATAAAATATAAAAAAGTGGACATAAAAACATTTTTATCTGGACCTGGATTAAGTTCAATATTTCCAATGACTAAAAGAATATTAAACAGAAGTCTTAAATGTTGTTTCCGACTGGTTAAAACAGAGTCTGTTATATCCGTGCCTTTAGCACTAATGTCTTTTGTCCACTGATGAAAAACAGTAACATAGGCCGAAATTACTAGATGGATGGATCCCTTAGCATTTGCCTATACTGCCTACGACACGGGCCAGTTGACTTGTTTACCTGCTGCTGACCTCCTGGCTTGGACATGTGCACAGCGCTCCTTTTATTCTGCACAACTGTCAGCTTTATCGGTTCCTTCTCTAAGAATTGTCAGAAAACCACATTAGTTTTACTCATTTAACTTTGAAAAAAGGTCTGAAATTAGCAGCCATAAAAATGCTTTAAAAATAAATCTAGAAGAACAAAATGTGTTCAGT